GGGGGGGGGGGGGGGGGGGGGGGGGGGGGGGGGGGGGGGGGGGAGTAGCGACACGACGGAACATTATAGGGGATACGTCTGGCTGGTATTCCTGCTATCGCCTCCATCATCGTCAGTCCAGAACACATCTCTCTATCCGTTCAGCCATCTCTGTCCTGCTCTCTTCGACTGCAGTCGTGTCTCCTGTCTTTCGACGTTTCCCCTCCTGTGTTCCCTTCCCCCCCTGATCTGCTGTCATTTTGGTCTTCTGCCCGATGCTTTTCTTGTTCCGTTCCTCCATGGGTAGTATACTTAGTTTCTCTTGCTCCTTGTGTCATTTGACCATGAAGTTCTCCGCTCCTTCCATCACCCCTTTGTACCACGGCATCCCTTTCTCCACCTTCGCTGCGATAGGCCAGCAGCCACGCGGATTTCCGAGCGTCCTTAGGTTGTCATCGGTGGATTCGGCATTGGCACCGAACTCTACGAAGTCTTCCTTCAAGCATGACACCCATTTCTTATCCGGACGCCCGCTGCCTGGGTCCTTCCCCCCCATGATATTTCCGAACATTTATCGCTTCGGGAATCGCCCGTCCGGTTGTCTGGCCAATTCTCCAGCAAAGAGTAGTCGCCGTTTTCGAACAGTAGCCTCCACGCTTTGGCATCCGACCTTTTTCAGGGCTTGGGCGTACGAGAGCTGCCGATATTGGCCGCGCGTGCGCGGTAGCCGATAACCCGCAGCAGAAGACGGTAGTGCGTACTCGTCAGCAGGTCGTGGTGCTTGCCGCGCGGGGCCGACGAGATGCATCGGTCACAGCAAGGCCTCCATCGCTTCCGCTTTTAGGAGCCGGATCTTTAGTCCCCATGGTGCTGTCGGTCTGTCGAAGAGCTCCCGGGCGTACTTCCGGAGACACGCCCACGCTGCTCTGCTCCGTTGGTTGATATCCTGCGAGAGTTCAATATCTTCTCTGACCCGTCTACCCAGATATCGGAACTCCACTCTCTGGGCGTACTTCTGTCCCGCTGCTTCGATCACCAGCGGTGCCGCAGGTGGTGGGGGTGGTGGTGGTGGCGCTCCCTTCTCCGGTTTCTTCTCCGGCACCTTCATCAAGAGAGTCTTTTTCTTCTTCTCCGACATTGTCAGTCCGAAAGCTCCAAACACTTCGACGATAATGGTCATCATCCTCGCCAGGCCTACGACCGATCTCGATTCGAACCCAGCGTCTTCGGCGCACAGTATACCCCACACCGCCTTCCGGACTCGTGCCAGCGGTGTCGTTGCCCTCGTCCCAGTCTCCTCAAGGTTACCAGATCCCTGAAGATAGCGTCGTCTTCGCTGAATTGTACCAAAACTAACTCAAGCGCCGCCGCGAAGAAGATGTTAAGCAGCAGTGGAGACAGTACACGTCCTCGTCGCAGTCCCTGGGTGACCTCGGACCATTCCGAGAGCTCTCCGTCGTCCATGCGTACCCGAGCTTGCATGCCGTCGTGGAACTGGCGGATGACCGCGATCATTTCCTCCAGGATCCCCGCTCGGGCCAGCATCCGCCACAGCAGTTCCTGATCGACTGGGTCATGAGCCTTCTGGAGGTCGACGAAGCACATGTACAGCGGAATACTCCGTCTCCGTGCCAGCTCCTGCAGTCGTCGTACGACGAACAGCATGTTAACGGTGGACCTGCCAGGTCGGAAACCGCACTGCTCTTCCGGCAAGATGTCGTGCTTCTCGCACCTTGCTCGCGTGCGACAGAAAGGATATCCACCTGTTGTTGTTAGAGTTAGATCGGTTCGACTTCTAGCAGAGTACCTTGATGGTGGCATCGCTTCATTCCTGCGGGACCTCCCTCCCGTTCCACACGTCGACGAGGATGGTGTGGAAGCGGTCGATCACGATGGGCTCATTTACGTCGTCAGTATCGAGTAGTTCTACCGGCAAGGAATCATGACCACACGCTTTCCAGTTTTTCGCCCCTCGTGCTGCTCTCCGAGTCTCCTCCAGGGTTGGTGCGGACCCCAGGTGTTGCGAGCCTTCAGTGGTTGGTACCTTCGGTCGTTCCTTTACCTCCCCGATGATAGGCCGGGTTCAACGTGTGGGATTTAGCGTTGAGTAGAGAGCCGAAGAACCTCGCTCACCGTTGGAGAGTCTCATCCTTGCTCCTCGGCACGACACCATTCTTATCTCTCACGGGCTGCTGTTCTCATGTCTGCTTCCCATTCACGCCTACCGAGCTCTTGAGGTGTTAGTACAGTCCCCGCATGTCGCGATCCTCGCGGATGGATTCCATCCTCGCCACATCGTTCTAGGTGGGCATAATTGCCGTCATCGACCGCTGCACGTGCTGCCTTGCAAGGGCAAGAGCTGCCTCGACTGCTGTTCTCGTTTCCGGGCTCTGGCACCACTCTGCCATGCGTGGTTATGTATCCGGGTCTATGCCGGCAGCACTGACTACGCTGCTTCAAGGATAGCTTCGGTGCTCGCGAACTCCACGGCGCTGAGGCTGGGCTGGTCTGCTTGCTGGTCAAGGTTTTCGAGGAACTGATCGACCACCTTGTCCCTCTGTGCTTCCTCCTGCTTCAAAAACATCTCCGGTTATGGGTATCTTCATCTTCCTTTTCCAACAGCTCAGTCATGTACACTCCCTCTCCTTATTTATTGTCGTGGCCCCGTGTAACAGCAGTAGCGGGATTCACTGTGATAATCCCAGCACAAGCAGAAAGGTTGCGAGGTTGATATCCGATGTAGCAGTATACGTTGCGGGGTTGCGGCGGCGGCGCCCGGCGGAGGCGGAGGCGGAGGGCGGAGGGAGTGGCGGAACTTGGAACCAATGAAGAACCCAAACCAGGTTCGGATGAAACGTAACCTGTGCGTCCGATCACCTGCCAATCACCGATCACCAATCACCATTCGCACATTCGCACGAGTGATCGGACGATCGGAAGTTGGTCCTTGCGTCCTCGCGACTCACGACGCGTCTTTGCTCTGCTGAGTATCACTGGTCGTTGTGTTTTGCCATACTGTGCACGCACCACGCACCCCATACGGCTCGTGCTTTCCTTTTCTGTGGGTGGGTGCTTGGGGGGTTTGTCGAGGTGCAGATAAGTGACACAGGGACACGGACGGTGACAGAATGCGAGGTAAGACCCCATAATTTTTTGTCCAGTTGTCCACTTGAACATACAGCAGCCGCAGTGAGGATCGTTGATGGCCGTGTAAGATTCTCCAACTCATCTCAAGTACTTTCATCTTCCGCCTCCACTACACCTGTCCGTAGACGTGTGAACCCTTACTGATCCCCCAAGTTGTGCTTACCGATATTTCGTCAGCGAGCATGGGATTCATCAACCTCAGCGATATCCGCCCATGTATAGCAGTAGTATCTACCGCTTTAGCATAATTTGCCCAGCCTACTATTATACTACTGCTGTAGGCCAGACTGCAACCTGTGGCCACCTCCTAGTAGGCACGATATGAGGCATGTGGCGGTATACCTCCAGCTTAGATGAACGTTGTCGTGATCCGGGATGTCGTCGAGTCTCTGTAAGTTATTTCGCGCTTTTGTTTGTTGCGTCTGTTACCCGCAAGGAGCTAGGATAAGGGTTATAGGGATAGGGTTATCACCCTGTTAGATGATGTACCTGGTACAGTTTTTATTGGACCTGCGTGAATGGATAGAGCTGTCTGTTTTGGTTGAACTTACGTAGTGTGAGACTCCCTCCAAGCCCTGTCGCAGACAATTGCGCTGCTCTTAACGAAGTACCAATACTTCGTAGAGATTCTAAGGTTCCTCTCGGTGGAGCGGGTCCCAGCTCCCAGGCCACAACAACGAGATAACCAAGAAACGTACGTGCAAACAACCTCTGCGGGTGACCCATGATGAAAAACATTGTGCCGTGTACCAACTAGTCTACACGAACAGTGATGGATGTGAGGGAGGCAGGCAAAAGCATGACATCACAGCGGACCGTGACGGCTTGCTGCTCTACTTTTTTTTTTGCCCTTGACAGACGACTTGAGTGTGGTATGTATTTCAAGTATCGTGTCTAACTAGCAAATGCAGCAGCAGCAGATAAACAAGGATCAAAGGACAAGAACTCCATGGAAACAATGGAACGCCCGCCGAGGATGATGAGCTGACTAACATGTAACGCGACAGGCCCGTGGCTTCAGCTTTCCGGAGTCAGATCAAATAAACCTCTCCTGTGCTATTGTACTGGCTCTGTTGACCTTTTTTCCCCTTCAAGGAAACAGAATATATGATGTGTGCTGTGTGAAAGCAATAGGAAGCGCGCCAAGCATCATGCCGAAGAAGGCAAGACACGACAACACCGAAGGTTCATGCGGTGCCTTTTACGGCTGTGCGGTGCTGCCACAACTGTGCCTGCTCCTCATGGTGATGACCCTCGCACGCACTCCTTGGAATTTTCAGAGAGAGGCGCTCACACACCTGCCTGTGCCCACCCACGCCCGCCCAAGAGAGCTGCGAACACGTTTTGCGGGCAGTGGCATCTCGATCACCCGAACAATCTAGACGAAGGACCGACAGTCCAATAGATGGGGGGGGTGTACTAATCGTTAGGCCATTGACCTCGCATCCCTACAAAGCCGGGACGGAGCACGCCGGGTATTCACCAGACCAGGCTCTCACATCACCAAGCGCGAAGCACAGTGAGGTATTCGGCGCGTCGCACGAAGGGTGCACTGCATCCTGGTACGGGTGCTCGGCATCTTGTGCTTTCTTGCTTGCGTACGAATGACAGCTGCGTACAAGTATGTTTTAATTTTTTTTCTGATGCTTTCACTTCCAAAGATAGTTGTAAGCACAGTGTAACTGACTTGAGGGTGCTTGACCACAACGTGGTGCGATTATCCCCTTTGCGCGGAATGAGGGTTCTCGAACCCGCACAACATGATCTACTCGACCACCATTCATGGTTACCGCAAAAAACAAAACAAGGCAAAAAAAAAGCGGGAACCTGTTTGCCGAGCTCACGAAGTGATCGGCTTGTTGTACAACATCGCCGACAAGCGACGAAAACCCAACCCCGATGGCAAACACTGGGGTGGGGGTGTACTCATAGTCGTGCATGCCGTAGTCGTTAGACCATTGACATCGCATCCCTCCAAAGCCGGGACGGAGCACGCCGGGTTGTCACTGGACCAGGCTCTCACATCACCAAGCGCCGGGGAGGGGGCGTACTCTTGTGTTTTGCATGCCTCAACAGTTAGACCATTGACCACGCGTCCTCGAGAGGACGGAGCATTGTTCTCACAAGACCGATCACCGATGGCCAATCATTCCTTTCTACTTTGCCAAAGGTGGCTCAAAAATGTCTTCCCTAGTCTATCTATCCTAACGATATCACTTCCCACCTTTTCAAATCACTTCCTGTGCCCCAGTACAGCTACCGTCCTTTCCTCTCTATTCCATGCCTTAAACATCTCCCTGTATATCCCATCTATTTTTCCCAGCTCAGTCACGTGCACTTCCCTCTCCTTCTTGTACCACGGACATTCCGCGACTACATGAACACGGTCTTCGCATTCGAAGCCGCAATCACATTTGAACTCGTCGTCTTCGTCGTCTACCGTCCTATGTCTTCGTCGACGTTCTCGAAGGCCTCTGTCCCCGGTCCTGAATTTCACCTTAAGCTTTGTTCCTGCATCCATTGGTCCATGTAGGTAATCCTTGAACCCTATTCCTTCTTTCAGCATTCCGTACACTTCTAGACCCTCCTTATTCCTTGGTTTCTTTCCTTAGGTCCTGTTCTTCTCTCTCGGCACAAGCGGAGGGGAGGGGGGGGGTTGTTGTTGTTATTTTTACAATAAACCGTTCCGGTCTCCGCTCAGTACCTTCTAATGTCCGTACTGGTCCAACTGACGTGGACGCCTTCCGTCGTCACAAGCCAGCTGCCCCCAAGGGGGGGGTACACCTTCTAATAATAAGAATGGACAACAGGAAAAAATTCCTCCAAGGCGCGATTTGTTTTTCTGCCCAAACGAAAGAAAAAAGAAGGCCTAACCGGGGGATCCAGGCGATCGACCCCAGTCAGAAAGGGATGAAAGAACGAAAGACAGAAGAAAAAGAAAGAGAGGAAGAGAGGGGGGGGGAGACAGCGAACGGAAACAAAAGGGAAGATAGACAGGTCCCTTCCAATGCTCCAGTCCACTGGAGCAACAGCGAAATTGGCAACTACTAACGTGACACCAAACAGATGACTGACGTCCTACGACACAACATCACTTCGGGGGCACTGCGAGGGTGTGTGTGTGTTAGCGACACGACGGAAAAATTAAACAATACGGGGATATGTCCTTCTGGTATTCCTGCTATCGTCTCCATCATCAACATCAATCCGTAACACATCTCTCTACTATCCGTTCAGCCATCTCCGTCCTGCTCTCTTCGGCTGCAGTCGTGTCTCCTGGCTTTCGACGTTTCCCCCCCCCGTGCTCCCTCCCCCCCCTGGTCTGCTGTCATTTTGGTCTTCTGTCCGATGCTTTTCTTGTTCCGTTCCTCCGGGCGTAGTATGCGTAGATTCTCTTGCTCCTTGTGCCATTGGACCATGAAGTTCTCCACTCCTTCCATCACCCCTTTATTCCACGGCACCCCTTTCTCCACCTTCTCCGCGATAGGCCAGCAGCCACGCGGTATTCCGAAGTTCCTCCGGTCGTCAGCCGTGGATTCGGCATTGACACCGAACTCAACGAAGTCGGCCATCAAGCATGACACCCATTTCTTATCCGGACGCCATCTGCCTGGGTCCTTCCCCCCCACAACATCTTCGAACATCAAACACTTCGGGATATAGTGTTTTTTACTCTTTTCAGATTCCCAAGGAAGACATCAAGAGCAGTTATTGACTAGAAGTGCCTCCTGGGTTGAACACGACATGACTCTCGTGCCCACATCCTATTGGACTGCACTGCCAACCAGGTATACCTTTGGTGTTCTCCTTCGCTTATACTGAAGTGTGTTCCTTGGTCAGCCGGATAGTGCGGTCAATGTGTAGTTCAAGGACACGTATCAATCGTATGGCCCTTGATCGTAACGCCCTCAGATTTTCACGTACCAATGGACAAATGGGTTTGCTTTAGTTCCAGCTCGACCTCCTGGGTGTTAGACGAGTTTCTGTGACCAAATTCCCAGAGGGCGTGATAACTCATTTTCCGACCCTATTCTATCTTTCATATTTTCTCGCCCTAATGTTGGCTGCAAAGGCTTTTCCGTCGCCACGAGGGGCGATTTTTCGCCGCACGCGGTCTCGCCTCTCTTGGCGCAGGTATTGGCGAAAGCGGAAAGATGGGTCTCCGACATATCTGATCTACCTTCATCTACGATTTTTCTGCCATCGTGTTCGAGAACTTGCGGAATGAAACGTCATATTTTGCGTCACGTAGTCGCGCCACGCACGTGTCTGAGCCACTTCTGATGCCCCCATACATGCGCACTCTCCCTTCCATCGCGGGTGTCAAGGATTGTCGACACTGCATGTAGTCAACTACAATGTGATGCTTCTTTTGCCATGTCCGAATTTGCAAGGTGTTATTCGCACGGGCGTGTTGTGTCACGTTGGAGTTTCTGCGAATCCCCTCTTCGCGTCGACGGTCTTTGCTATGGCTTCTGTGGACTGGGCATGCGCTCTTGCCACCATGACAAATGTGTTGTCTGCCACGTTTTTTTCTTCCCTCATACTGTTATTTATGTCAAATTTATGTCAAAAGGAAGCTCTCTTTGACAACGTGACTCGACTCATACAATGTATGCTGTACAAATATAGTGGTTAAATACGTGCTTCAACCGGGGGGCGGTTCGGAGCATCCTCCCAAAACATCTCATGCATGTTCTTACTGCTTTGTCATGTTGAAATGCCACCTTGCCTAGGCCAAGAGGGGGATCATCCGTTCAAGCTAGAGGGTGATGAGATGATGGCTGCGCAACGGTATGAGGATGCTGTACGACTGTACTCATCATTGCTTGACCTACAGCCATCGGAACTTCGTGTATGGGGCAACCGATCCCAGGTAAGAAGGCAGGTTCGGACCCCTCTCGGATGTACGTATCATACGTACAGGAGTGTTTTGGGGTGCGTCCTCGCTTCGTCAGGTACAACGGGTAGTGGTGGATGTTTCTCGGCAGCCAGGCCCTCCGTCGCTGATTGCGGTGGCTAGTAGCTCATTCACGGTCGCAAAACACTACCAAGGTGTATATGGCTTCGTCTTGAATCACAGCAGTAGATACAGGCGTCATTTTCTAGAGGCGATCCCAACGATCTATGCCTTAACTTTGTAGATTGAATAACACTGCCCGATCTAGAAGTCCCCAGTCGTTCCCGGGAGCTCGCTAACGACGTGTATAGCTTTCAGCGACATTCGCGGTCATAAATTATTGGATGTTCTAGATGTAGTTTCTAGATGGTCCCGCTGCTGTTGTCATGTCTGCAAAGCACCCTCTGCCGGCTCGTGCCTCAGGGCGCCTGAAGGCGATGTGTTGGTTCCGAGCAGCCTCAGCTAGTAAGTGGATTGAAGTTCTGGGGCGTTTCTCAGAAAAACTCTTGAACGTCAAGATTCCGCTCTTCAATTTCATTTTCAGTGCACGTGGTTTGTCACACTCTGAGTCCCCCAGATGAAGGGAGGCAAGAACAGCTCGTCCTCGCCACAACTTCTTATATTGGGCCACAACCCGTGAAGTTGGACCGCGCTTCATGCGTGTTGTGTGGGGGCAAAGGATGTACAATTCAACGGTCATCGGTACCAGTAACGACTCTAGAGGTGTAGTCAGTAGTCAGCCTGTCAAACAACGCTTGTGTGCTACCTCCTGACTCTTGTATTACGTCAATTGAGTGATAGCGGAGCGCCCCATTAACAAGGCATTCGTAAGGACTGGGCGGCGAGACGGCGAAACCCTCAATCACAATTTGTCGGCACGTGACTTGATTGGTGTCGTGCGTTTCGATACAGGCATACCTGTACCTCGGGCGCTTCGAAGAGGCAGAGAGGGACGCAACGATGGTTCTGGGAATCGATCCTGACAACATCAAGGCCCACTATCGACGTGGATGGGCGCGGCTGAAACTAAGGACCCCAAATGTGAAGGGCGGGAAGGAAGACCTGGCTAGAGTTCTGTCGCAGGAGCCTGGCAACAAAGCGGTGAGCGGTGCGCGTACCGCTCGTTGTGCTTGCTTCCTGATGCTTGCATAGGGAACCGAATCACGTACTCAAGAACATTGCCTTGCAGCAGGGGAAACAGTGTACTTCGAGTTTTTTTCCATCAACCGACGAGACCAGATGGACTTCGCTACTTGCTCTCCATCGCAAGTGTTTTTTTTATCAGGCCGGAGTACGGCATCCGAGGAGTGTGGCTCCATCAATGCTGCTGCACATACATAATTGTAGCTCCAAAAAGAACATTGTTTCAGCGAACTTTAAGCCAGCCAGGCGTCTGCGCAAGCTCGATTGAACATCGGACTTGTGGGATCTCAGGCAAGCGTCGGCTACTCTCGATACTTATGTACTTCGGCAAACACCCTGACTGTGTGCTGGAAATGGATTGTAAGCGGGTCGCTCACTCGAATCCAGCATGAAGGTCTTAACTCTTCCTTGAGGCGTCCCGTTTTCGTCCCTTTGATTTGAGGGAGAAAAACATAAAATGGTCGGTGGTGGGTTTGGATGTCAGTATTTTTAGAAGGAAATGCTGAAGTATATCCTTGACCGGTATTGTATCCTGCTCGTGAATAGCTGCTTAGCCCAACTAGGGCGTGTATGGGCGGCGTCAAGAAGGATCGCGATTGTGTGCGTGTTTTTTAAAAACTCCACATTTGTTATTCTTATGGGTTCGCCAACAATGCACACTTCATTTTTAACCCTCGTGATATACTCTGGAAGCTCCATATCAGCCAAGTCAGATGGCTTGCAAATAGGGGTAAAAGGGCACATTGTAGGGCATATCAACAGCATTCGCTAACCTGTGGGATACACGGGCTGTATTTGAAGTAGCTCTGTTGAAACGATTGGTAACGATGAAATCTCGATTCCCCGCACTTGCGGGCAAGCCATCTCGTAAATGAAGTGCCCACAAACCACGATCACGAACCATCATCAGTGGCGG